GAAACTTATGGGGCTGGGGGGGCACCCAAGGGCGGGGGGCACCCACAAATTTGGGGAGATCCCATGGGTTTGGGGCGATCCCATTCCCCCGCCCAGTACAGAACTGGGAACCAGTGAGAGCAGCCCTGGGGTTTATTGGGGTCTGAGGTCTATGGGGGTATTTGGGGGATCCTTTTACTGGGATTTTGGGATGGAGAGTCCAAGGGTGTGACCCTCATTCTCCCCGGGTTTTTTAGGATTTTGGGGCTCACAGGGTCGGCTACCCTCACTCTGATCTGGGATTTTTTAGGGTCCAGATCTCACGGGGGATGTGACTCTCACTCTTCCCGGTGTTTTTTGGGATTTTGGGGTGGAGGATCTGACGGGGTGACCCTCACTCCTCCCAGAGTTTTTCGGGATTTTGGGTCTCACGGGAGGATCTGACCCTCACTCTCCGGGCTGTTTTTTTTAGGGTCCGGGCTGTTTTTTAGGGTCCGGGCTGTTTTTTAGGCTCTGCACTGTTTTTTTAGGATCCGGCATATTTTTTAGGATCCGTGCTATTTTTTAGGATCCGGGCTGTTTTTTTTAGGATCTGGGATATTTTTTAGGCTCCGGGCTGCTTTTTAGTGCCCGTGGTATTTTTTTAGGATCGGGGCTGTTTTTTAGGATCCAGGCTGTTTTTTAGGATCCGGGCTGTTTTTTAGGATCCAGGCTGTTTTTTAGGATCCAGGCTGTTTTTTAGGATCCGGGCTGTTTTTTAGTGTCCGTGATGTTTTTTAGGCTCCATGGTGGTTTTTTTTAGTGCCCGGGCTGTTTTTTAGGGTCGGGGGTATTTTTTCAGTGTCCGGGCTGTTTTTTTAAGGTCCGTGATGCTGTTTTTTTTAGGATCCGGGATATTTTTTAGGATCCGTAGTAGTTTTTAGGGTCTGTGGTGTTTTTTTAGTGTCCGTGAAGTTTTTTAGTGCCCGGGATGTTTTTTTAGGATCCGGGGTATATTTTTAGTGCCCGTGGTGTTTTTTTTTAGTGTCCATGGAGTTTTTTTAGGATCCGGGCTGTGTTTTTTTGTGTCCGGGCTGTTTTTTAGTGTCCGGGCTGTTTTTTTAGGATCCGGGCTGTTTTTTTAGGATCCGGGATATTTTTTAGGATCCGGGCTGTTTTTTTAGGATCCGTGGTATTTTTTCAGTGCCCGGGCTGTTTTCTTAGGCTCCGCGCTTTTTTTTAGGCTCCGGGCTGTTTTTTAGGATCCGGGATATTTTTTAGGATCCGGGCTGTTTTTAGGGTCCGTGATGCTGTTTTTTTACGATCCGGGCTGTTTTTTAGGCTCCGCGCTGTTTTTTTAGGATCCGGCATATTTTTTAGGGTCCGGGCTGTTTTTTAGTGTCCGGGCTGGTTTTTAGGATCCAGGCTGTTTTTTAGGATCGGGGCTGTTTTTTAGGATCCGTCATGGTTTTTTCTAGGTTCCGTGGTGTTTTTTTTAGGATCCGGGCTGTTTTTTTAAGGTCCGTGGTGCTGTTTTTTAGGCTCGGTGATATTTTTTTAGGCTCGGTGCTATTTTTCCAGCCGCCCCGTTCCCCGCAGGTGCCGATGTGACCCTCACGGACGTTCCCGCGGCTCTCCCGCAGCTCCGCCACAACGCGCGCCTCAATTTCCCCGCGGCTTCCGCTCCGCGGGTGCGGCCGCTGCTYTGGGGGCGCGACCACCGCCTCTTCCCCCCCAAATTCCACCTCGTCCTGGGCTCCGACATCGTTTACGACCCCCGGAGTTTCTCGCCGCTCCTGGAGACCCTCGGGCACCTCCTGGAGCCCCCGGCCCGCGCTCTGCTCTGCGCCCCGATCCGCGGCGGCGCCGGAACCGCGCGCTTCTTCCGCCAAATGCTGCCCGCGGCTTTTGGGGTGCGGCTGCTGCGGAGAGAGGCGGAGATCGAGATTTATGGGGTGACGCCGCAGTAAAAAGGGGGAGACCCCGAAAATATGGACATTGGGATTTATGGGGTGACGCGGCGGGAAAAAGGGGGAGATCCCCAAAATACGGACTTGGAGATTTTTGGGGGGAGAGATCCCCAGGAAAGAGGGGGAGACCCCCAAAATGGGGACAGTGAGATTTATGGGGTGAACCCCCGGGAATAAAGGGGGGCACCCCCAAAATGTGGACATTGGGATTTATGGGGGCGGAGACCCCCAGGATGGGGAGATTTATGGGGTGACCTCCCGGGAAAGAGGAGGAGATCCCCAAAAACGGGACAGTGAGATTTATGGGGGGGAAAGACCCCCAGGAACTGGACATTGGGATTTATGGGGTGAACCCCCGGGAATAAAGGGGAGGACCCCCAAAATGTGGACTTTGAAATTTATGGGGTGAGAGACCCCCAGGAACGGGACATCGGGATTTATGGGGTGACACCGCGGGACAAAGGGGGAGATCCCCGAAATACGGACTTTGGGATTTATGGGGGGAGAGACCCCCGGGAAAGAGGGGGAGACCCCCAAAATGGGGACAGCGAGAATTACAGGGTGACACCGCAGTAAAAAGGGGGAGACCCCGAAAATATGGACATTGGGATTTATGGTGTGACGGCGTTGGAAAGAGGGGGAGACCCCCGAAATACGGACTTTGAAATTTATGGGGGGAGAGACCCCCGGGAACGGGACAGTGATATTTATGGGGTGACCTCCCGTCAAAGAGAGGGAGACCCCCAAAATACGGACTTTGAGATTTATGGGGGGAGAGACCCCCGGGAAAGAGGGGGAGACCCCCAAGATGGGGACATTGAGATTTATGGGGTGACACCGCAGTAAAAAGGGGGAGACCCCGAAAATATGGACATTGGGATTTATGGGGTGACGGCGCGGGAAAAAGGGGGAGACTCCCAAAATGCGGACATTGGGATTTATGGGGTGAGAGACCCCCAGGAAAGAGGGGGAGACCCCCAAAATACGGACTTTGAAATTTACGGGGGGAGAGACCCCCAGGATGGGGACAGCGAGAATTACGGGGTGACACCGCGGGAAAAAGGGGGAGACCCCCGAAATGCGGACTTTGCAATTTATGGGGGGAGAGACCCCCAAGAACGGGACAATGATATTTATGGGGGGAAAGACCCCCGGGAAAAAGGGGGAGACCCCCAAAAACGGGGCAGTGACATTTAAGGGGTGACGCCGCTGGAAAGAGGGGGAGACCCCCGGGATGGGGACAGTGAAAATTACGGGGTGACCCCGCGGTAATAAAGGGGGAGACCCCCAAAATGTGGACATCGAGATTTACGGGGTGACACCGTTGGAAAGAGGGGGAGACCCCCGAAATACGGACACCGAGATTTATGGGGGCAGAGACCTCCGGGAAAAAGGGGGAGACCCCCAAAATGGGGACACCGGGATTTATGGGGTGACACCGCAGTAATAAAGGAGAGGACCCCCAAAATGGGGACATTGAGATTTATGGGGTGAACCGCCGGGAATGGGACATCGGTATTTTTGGGGTGACCCCGCGGGAGGGGAGGGGGGCATTAAACGGTCCCCAAGGGGGGTCTCGGTTCGGGCGGTTCTGTGGGATTTGGGG